CACCAGAAAATCGGAAGTGGCTCAAGTGGTAGAGCGCTAGCCTTGAGCTGAAGAGCTGAGGGACAGCGCCCAGGCCCAGAGTTCAGGACCCATGACTGGACCCAAAAAAAAAAAATAAATAAATAGGAGGGACGGGTCTGCTGCCCCTCTTCAGCAGGCCAGGCCCTTTGTGGCTGATGGGATGGCCTGGCTGTCCCACATGGCTGACCAGGGACAGGACAACGCGGGCCCCACATAGCCAGTCCGGGACAGGACAGTCTGGCTGTCCCATGTGACTGACCAGGGACAGGACAGCCCAGCGGCTGTGGCTCACCCTGCTTCCTTCTAGGGACTTGTCCATGATTCTGTGTGACCCCTTTGCCATCAACACACTCTCACTGAGCACTGTCCGGCACCTGCAGGAGCTGGTTAGCCAGGAGACACTGCCTAGGGTAAGTGCAGATGTGGCCAGTGGCTGCATACTTCCCAATTGCGAAGTTATGTGTTGGAACATGGATACCCGTGGTCGGGGTCCTGGGGTCCATGGACACCTGTGATGGGGTCCTGGAGTCGTCGTCACAGGCAGCAAACACCAAATGCCTGTTATGTGGGGCCAGAGATGACACAACCCCAGTGAGTTCCACTGAGGCCTCTATTCCCCTACAGGACAGCCCTGATCTCCTCCTGCTACTTAGATTGCTGGCGCTGGGACAAGGGGCATGGGACTTGATTGACAGCCAAGTCTTCAAGGAGCCCAAGATGGTATATGGTCTAGTTCCTGCATTTCTGTTTTTGTGGGGAGTGATAACCTGGTCCCTCTGGTCCCAAAGTGCCTCCTGGAGTCTTCTGGCAGAACACCTGCCAGGCATGTCTGGGCAGACTGGCCCCTGACGCTGAGTACTACGGGGCTGTGTGAACAGTCATGAGCATGCCAGACTGGGGCCTTCAAGAATGGAACACTTGGGACTGGGAAGGTGGCTCAGTGGTAGAGCGCCTGCCTTGCATGCCTGAGGCCCTGGGTTCGATTCCTCAGCACCACATAAAGAGAAAGAGCTGGAAGTGGTGCTGTGACTCGTGATAGAGTACTAGCCTTGAGCATAGAGAGGCTCAGGGACAGCGCCCAGGCCGTGAGTTTCAAGCTCCAAGACCAGCAAAAAGAAAAGAAAAAACGGAACGGAACACTGAGCAGGGGTCTTGGGATGTGGGAAGGAACCAGGGGACTAGCAAGAAGGAGATCTGAACCCCCAGGAAGGCCTGGGGGTGTCTGTGGTGTAAGTGGGGTGGCACCCACACCAGGCAGGGCCTGCAGGTGTGGGCCTGCCGGGCTCGGGTCCCCTCCCTTCACTGGGCAGAGGGCATGCAGGCCAGAGGGCATGCAGGCCAGAGGGCATGCAGGCCAGAGGGCATGCAGGTCAGAGGGCATGCAGGTCAGAGGGCATGCAGGTATGGGCCTGCTGGGTTCAAGTTCCCACCCCCCCTTTCAGGAAGCTGAGCTAATCACACAGTTCCTGCCCATGCTCATGTCCTTTGTGGTGGATGACTATACCTTCAATGTGGACCAGAAGTTGCCAGCTGAGGAGAAAGCCCCAGTCACGTACCCCAACACACTTCCTGAAAGTTTCACCAAGTAGGACTGGCAGCTATTGGGATGGGGCCAGGGAGGAAGCAGGGTGCTGTTGGGTGTGGCTGACCACAGGGCTCTGGTGGCCTTGAGCACAGGTTTCTGCAGGAACAGCGCATGGCCTGTGAAGTGGGGTTGTACTATGTCCTGCACATCACCAAGCAGAGGAACAAGAATGCGCTCCTCCGCCTGCTCCCGGGGCTTGGTGAGTTCCGACAGCCAGCTTACTTGCCACAGCTGCTGTCGTCCAGTAGAGGGCTCCCGGGCCCCAGGCTGCTGGGCACTGTCTGCTCTCATCTCCAGACGACTTTGTAGACACTTTATGAGGGGCTTTGCTCTGAAACACAGAACTGTGTTGCTACAGAAGCTGCTTTTCCCGAAGGGGGGATAGGTATATAAGCTCAAGCCACTGAGGAACCCACCTCAGGCAGTGAGTGACAGGCCCACAGACCACTGAGGAACCCACCCCCGGCAGTAACATTTTCCCCTAGGATCATGAGGGTTGGGGTGGGGTTGTCACACCAGGATGAAGAGGAAGGGGTCTGGGTAGCTACTTCTAGAGTAGACCTACAGGAAGTGGCGCTATGGCTCAAGTGGTTGAGCACTTGCCTAGTTCACGTAAAGCTCTGAGCTCCACTCTGGTATCCCAGGAGGAAAAACAGGTAAATCTTCAGGTCCCGTTGTAGGGGTGGCCTGGAACATCCCAGGTCTGCATGGTGGCAGGGGTGGCCTCTAGCATCCCATGTCTGTGTGGTGACCGGTAGATTCTAGCATTGCATGTCTGCATGGTGACAGGTGGCCTTTAGCATTGCATGTCTATGTGGTAGCAGGGTGGTCTCTAGCATCCCATGTCTGCGTGGTGACGTGTGGCCTCTAGCATCCTATGTCTGGTGACAGGTACCCTCTAGCATCCCATGTCTGTGTGTTGACGGGTGGTCTCTAGCATCCCATGTCTGTGGTGACGGGTGGTCTCTAGCATTGCATGTCTGCCTGGTGGTGGGTGCCCTCTAGCATCCCATGTCTGGCGACAGGTACCCTCTAGCATCCCATGTCTGTGGTGACGGGTGGTCTCTAGCATCCCATGTCTGCGTGGTGGTGGGTGGTCTCTAGCATCCCATGTCTGCGTGGTGGTGGGTGGTCTCTAGCATCCCATGTCTGCGTGGTGACGGGTGGTCTCTAGCATCCCATGTCTGCGTGGTGATGGGTGGTCTCTAGCATCCCATGTCTGCGTGGTGATGGGTGGTCTCTAGCATCCCATGTCTGCGTGGTGACGGGTGGTCTCTAGCATCCCATGTCTGTGTGGTGACGGGTGGTCTCTAGCATCCTATGTCTGTGTGGTGACGGGTGGTCTCTAGCATCCCATGTCTGCATGGTGGTGGGTGGTCTCTAGCATCCCATGTCTGTGTGGTGACGTGTGTCTCTAGCATCCCATGTTTGCTGGTGACAGGTGGTCTCTAGCATTGCATATCTGCATGGTGGCCTCTAGCATCCTATGTCTGGTGACAGGTGTCCTCTAGCATCACATGTCTGCGTGGTGGTGGGTGGCCTCTAGCATCCCATGTCTGTGGTGACGTGTGGTCTCTAGCATCGCATGTCTGCCTGGTGATGGACCCTGGCCATCTGCAGACTCAGGCCCTCCCTGTCAAGTGTTGAGGTTCCTGCAGAAGGGTCATACTCATTTCTTGGTCAGTGTGTTTGTTAGTCACTGGTGTCTTTTCCCTTTTCTGTGTGGAAGATCATGTCCAGTTTTGTTTATATGAAGTTGCCACCTGACTTGTGCAGTCTGGGCCTGATTTCCTCTGGAACTAGTTGCCACAGAGTTATAACTTAACTCAGACTCAGGCGGTTCTGGGGCTGAGAGGGGGCTGAGCCCGAGGCTCAGATCAAGTGTTGCAGGGCTGACTCCTGCAGACTTGGGAGAACCTGCTTTGTACCCCTTCCCAGCATCTGAGACATCAGGACATTCTGGCGTCTTCAGGTTACTGGCCCTGGGGGCTGTTTGTTTTTTCTGAGACTTCCAGGAAGGGTTGTAAAGAGTTCTAGTTTGCTGAGTCCTCTGCATTTCTGTCCCTCATCTAGTGTGGGGTTAGAAACAGTCAGTATGGCTTGTCCTTTCTCAGACAGTGTGGTTGAATAAGTTCTTGTTCCTGCATTGCATGGGTGGGTTCTCATCATATGAGGTCCTGGATTCAGTTCCCATACCTCCACCAAAACCAAAAAAGAAGGAATATCCAGGTTGTATAGAACTGTTTAATTTTGAATAGTTGGAGAAGTTGGGCATGGTGTGGAGAAGCCGTTGCCGGCTTCCTGGGACTGCTGTCAGCCTAGGCTTGACATGCTGTCACTGAAGGCTCAGTGTGAGTCACTACAGAGGAAACCCCCCACCAAAGCCAGCCACTGGTGGCTCATGCCTGTCTGTAATCCTAGCTACTGAAGAGGCTGAGAGCTGAGGATCAAGCTTTGAAAACAGCCCAGGCAGGAAAGTCTGTGAGATTCTTTTTTTTTTTTTTTCTTTTTCTTTTTTCTTTATTTTGCCAGTCCTGGGTGTTATCCCTGAGCTTCTTTTGCTCAAGGCTAGTGCTCTGCCATTTGAGCTACAGTGTCATTTCCAGTTTTCTAGTGGTTAATTGGAGATAAGAGTCTCATGGACTTTCCTGCCTGGGCTGCCTTTGAACCACAATCCTCAGATCTGAGTTTTAAGTAGCTAGGATTACAGGTGTGAGCCACTGGCCCCAGCATTTCTGGCTTTTTCTGTGTGGTTTGTTGGAGATAAGAGTCTCATGGATTTTCTTTTTTTCTTTCTTTCTTTTTTTTTTGCCAGTCATGGGGTCTGAACTCTGGGTCTGGGCGCTGTCCCTCAGCTCTTCAGCTCAAGGCTAGTGCTCTATCACTTGAGCCACAGCGCCACTTCCGGCTTTTTCTGTTTATGTGGTGCTGAGGAATCGAACCCAGGGCCTCATGCTTACAAGGCATGCACTCTACTGCTGAGCTACCTTCCCAGCCCCAGTCTGTGAGATTCTTATCTCTAGTTAACCACCAAAAAGTTGGTAATGGAGCTGTGGCTTCAGTGGCGGAGTGCTAGTCTTGTGCTAAAAATTTAGCTCAGGGACAGTGTCTAGCCCTGAGTTCAAGCCCCAGGACAGGAACAACAACAATAAAAAAGGTAGAACTAAAGGCATGGCTCAAGGGGTAGAGTGCCATCCGTGAATGGGAGCGCGCATCCATGAATGGAAAAAGCCAGTAAGAGTGCATGGCACAAAAACAAAACAATGACGAAGACTGGCAAGCCTGTCTGTGTGCACCCTCTCCTGAGCCTGGCTTGGTGCTGGTGTCCATCCTTAGGCCCAGCACATCGCCATGCCATTTGCTCCAGAAAGCACTGGACCTTTTGCTCTGTGTTTACTGATTGTGAACATAGTTCGTTATTTGCCTGTCTGCTGGCTCGGTGTCAGTAGTTTGGAGGCATTTCTTTGGTCTCTTCCCCAGGAGCCATCTGCTCTGGGGCTAGGAGCACCCTCTCTGAGCTGCACGGCTTTCCTTTATTTTTCTGTAGATTTTCTCTGCGGAGACCAGTTCAGATAGACCTCTACTCCTGCCCGCCAGCCATTGGGCACAGTATTCAGCAGGGCCCTGCTTGCCTTTCTGTCCTCATTGCCCAACTGTGACCTATTCCCCTGCCAGGGCCACAGCCCTTCCCCCTACACCAGACTAGTGCAGACCCCTCTGAGGTCCCCAGATGGAGGGTCCTGAGGGGAGCGGTCAGGGTGTGTACGTGGTGCCAAGCTGTGCCACCCTGCTGTGTTTCTAGTGGAGACGTTCGGTGACCTGGCCTTCAGCGACATCTTCCTCCACCTGCTCACAGGAAGCCTGGTGCTGCTGGCGGATGAGTTTGCTCTAGAAGATTTCTGCAGCAGCCTCTTTGACGGCTTCTTCCTCACTGCCTCGCCCAGGTAGGCGGCACAGCCGCTCAGGGCTTCGGCTTCTTTCGCACGGCAGCCTGGCAGGTGGCTGGGCCTGTGCTGTGATGGGGCCCTGGGGGGTCTGGTGGGTTTGGGGCCTGCTCTCTGCCAGCGGGGAGCGAGGAGTTCTTCAGAACAAGGGTGTGAGCGCTGGCTGTGCCCCGTCAGCAGCAGCAGGAGGGTGGCAGACCAGGGCCTGCAGCCCCTGGCTCCTCCACACCAGCCTGGCAGACCAGGGCCTGCAGCCCTGGCTCCTCCACACCAGCCTGGCAGCCCAGGCCTGCAGCCCTGGCTCCTCCACACCAGCCTGCCTTTCAGGAAGGAGAACGTGCACCGGCATGCACTGCGCCTCCTCCTCCACCTGCACCCCAGGGTGGCCCCGGCCAAGATGGAGGCCTTGCAGAAGGCCCTGGAACCCACGGGCCAGGTAGGTGCCCCTGCCCCGTGCAGGTGCCTGGCAGGTGTCTGTGCGCGTGTTGCCTCTCACTCAGAGTCTGGCCTTGCCTCTGAGAGTGCGCCCTGTGCCCGAGTGCTAATGTGTTGCTCGTGGGTGATTTGCCGGCAGAGCGGGGAGGCTGTGAAGGAGCTCTACTCCCAGCTCGGTGAGAAGCTGGAGCAGCTGGACCAGCGGAGACCCAGCCCTGCCCAGGCCACAGAGACGCCCACGCTGGAGCTGCCACTCCCCAGTGTGCCCACCACGGCAGCCCTCTGAGACTTTGTGGGCTGCTTGCTCGTGGGCCCTTCTGGGAGGAGGCCCTGGTGTGTCAGGTCTGGGTACGGAGGAGCGAGGGTGGTTGGGGGCAGGGTGCTCCCTGCGCTGCTTGGCCTGCTGGAGTCGGTCCTCTGCCGACCCTCTGGGGAGCAATGGGACCCCCAGCTGAGCCTTTAGTGGGAAGCTTGCTAATGCATGGCCACACTGCAGGTTTTCACAGCGTTGGCAGAAATGGGCATGGGGTGAAGTTAGGAACAAGCCGAGGGGGAGAACAGGGCCAGCAGACCTGACCTGACCTTCAAGGCTGGGGGGGCAGAGGAAGCGATGGCCATGTTGGCCAAAGCAGGGGTTCGCTGGTCTGCAGTCTGAGGCATGCGCTTCTCCTCCATGGAGGCCAAGAGGACAGGCCTGGAGGAACAGAGGCCACAGGTGCTTCTGACCAAAACTCTAGAGCAGAGCCAGGCCCCTCCTCTTGGCATGCCCAGCAGGGAGCGCCGCCTCTGGCCGCACCTCTTGTGACCCTTGTTAGGGACAGCAGGTGCACCCAGAGGTTTGTTTCATGTAAATAAAAGCAGTTTTGGTATGTCTGTGGTGAGTTGTTTGCACGCTTTGTGTATGTGCTTGTGTGTGTGCTTGTTCTAAGGCTGGGCAGCTCTGGAGGTCAGTGCAGGCCTGGAGAGTTGGTGCTTCTGCTTCTGTGAGCCACAGCTCTGGACTGCTGGCCTCATCCAGCCACCCCAGCCCTGGGCGGTCCAGTCCGCTGCTGTCCAGGATGGGACTCCTCTGGGCCTCAAAGGGTGCTTGGTGGTCTCAGACAGACCAGTTATTGGTTTCTGAGTCCAGAAACCAAGCCTTTCAGTCCTTTAGCAGACATGAAGTCCTGGGAGGGGCCAAGGACCAGTGCAGGGCCAGGCTGAGTTACTTTAGTGAATGAGACTGCACAGCCAGGCAGTAGCTCAGTTGTCCCAAGTAGTTCAGGAGAGGCCCACTTAGCTTGGGCCAAGGATGAGCAGAGTCAGCCCCAAGAGTCTGCCTGTCGGTAGTGGGGTGAGGTGGGTGTGAGTGGGCGCTCTCTGCCTGTCTGTGGGACCTGGACCTTCACAGCCCTGGCAGCCATCAGCAGCAGCCAGAGTGGGCAGCTGGGCTCTGGCAGCCCTCAGAAGACGGGACATGAGGAGAGGGGGGACGGGCCATCCTGTGCCTGTGGCCAGTAGCACCCCATACTGGGTGAGCTGTGAAGATGCCCAGGCCCAGGGCACAGCTGGCAGTAGCCTTTTTGCTGGCAGAGGTTTGGGTTGGCGTAGGACATCCCATGGCGAGAGTTAGTAGGCAAGCCGGGCACTGGTGGCTCACGCCTGTAAATCTAGCTACTCAGAAGGCTGAGATCTGAGGATCACAGTTTGAGGCCAGCCTGAGCAGGAAAGCGCCCTTGGACTCCCAACTCACCACCAGAAATCCAGAAGTGTTCGTATGGCTCAAGTGGTAGAGTGCTTGCCTTGAGCTGAAGAGTGCAGGGACAGTGCCCAGGCCCAGAGTTCAAGCCCATGATGGACAATAAGTAAATAAAGAGATGAGTAGGAGTCTGCTGCTGTGTGCTCTGGTCTGTCACTCGCTGAAAAGCTGTTGCTGGGTCGTGGGGCCCAGCCTGAGTCCTCAGTGCTCTCCAGAGTGCCAGGTCTAGACCCACAGCTGATTAGGTTTATGCCTTCTTAGTACCTCAAATGGGAACCAGATGCAACACAAGTCCTTGGGGCTGCTCATACATCAGACAGCAGCTAGGCCAGCAGGGTTTACAGGAGGTCCCAGGCACAGACTGACAGGGGCCGCCCTGCAGAGGTGGGGCCAGCAGGGTTTACAGGAGGTCCCAGGCACAGACTGACAGGGGCCGCCCTGCAGAGGTGGGGCCAGCAGTGACTGGCATGCTTGTCACTTCTGTTTCTATATGGCAGGGCTTTAGCTCTGGCTTTTTTTCTGCCCACGGCCACTCTATCACTTGAACCATGCCTCCAATTCTGGCTTTTTGGTGGTGAATCAGAGCTCAAATCTTACAAATGTTCCTGCACAGATTTGTTTTGATTTGAGAACTCAGATCTCAGCCTCCTGAGTAGTTAGGATTACAGATATAAGCTGTCAGCATTTGTCTTCCTTAGCTCTTTTGCTCAAGGCTGGTGCTCTGCTAGTTGAGCCATGCCTCAAGCATTTTGCTAGTAAATTGGAGATAAAGGCCCTCCCTGGAGGAGGGCCTGGGAATGTGGCTTAGTGGTAGTGCTTGCCTAGTAATCATGAGGCCCTAAGTTCAATTCCTTGGTACCACATAAAACACACTAATTAAAAAAAATTACTTGAGCCCAGTGCTGGTGGCTCATGTCTGTAATCCTAGCTACTCAGGAGGCTGAGATCTGAGAATCATGGTTCAGAGCCAGCCCGGGCAGAAAGGTCCATGAAACTCTTATCTCCAATAAACCACCAGAAAATCGGAAGTGGCTCAAGTGGTAGAGTGCTGGCCTTGAGCTGAAGAGCTGAGCAACAGCACTCAGGCCCAGAGTTTAAGCCCCACAACTGACCAAAAAAAAAAAAAGAATTACTTGATTTGTCTGCCAGGGCTGGTCTTGAACCACAATCTGTGAGAACCTAAGGAGCAGGAAGTCCCGCCTGTGGGCCACCGGATATAGAGTCGAGGGTTGCAGGGTGGAGATGGAGGGGGAAGGAACACTGTAAGACATGGCTAGCGGCATGGCTCCGGGAGCGGGGAGCGGAGCAGTGTCCGGGAGGCGGCAGGGAGGTCCGGCCTGCAGGGACGTCCCGGAGGTCTGGGCCGCCTGAGAGGCCTGCACAGGGCTAAGAGGTCTATGGAGATGGCAGAGGCCTGGGGAGAGCAGAGCAGCCTGCAGAGATCCGAGAGGCTTTTGGGAAGGAGGCCCCTTTGTATTTTTTTTGTCGGTCATGGGGCTTGAACTCTGAGCCTAGGCGCTGTCCTTCAGCTCTTCAGCTCAAGGCGAGCGCTCTACCACTTGAGCCACAGCGCCACTTCCGGTTTTCTGGTGGTTTATTGGAGATGAGTCTCACGGTCTCTCCTGCCCGGGCTGGCTTTGAACCATGTTCCTCAGATCTCAGCCTCCTGAGTAGCTAGGATTACAGGCGTGAGCCACCAGCGCCCAGCAAGGAGGCCTCTTTGGAGGTTGCAGCTGCTCCTAGTTCTGAGGTAACCCAAGACAGGGTTGCAGACCAATTAATGAAACTCCTTTCTCCCCTTTAACTGTTCCTCTGTGGACTTGCTTGCTCACTAGCTTGCTTGCTCAGGTCCTCTGATTTCAGCTATCTGAGTAGCTAGAATTGCAGACTTGTGCTCCCAGTTCTGGGCCTGCTTGTTTTGAAAGAGTGGAGACAGGGTATTGAGAATGACCTGGTGCAGCCAGACAAGGCTGGGGTAGCTGTCACGTTGCTGAGCTGAGGCCATGCTTGCAGAGGAGGGCTGGTGGAAGGTGCTGGTGTCCTCTGGCTCCTGCTTGCTTGGGATGAGGCCGGGGTGGGGCCGAGGTGCAAGCACAGCAAAGGATTAGGCCCTAGGAGACCAGCGGCCTGGTGAGGCCACTGGGCAGTGAGGGGCTCCTCCGGCTGGTGGCAGTGATCCCTGTGACTGTGCTCCAGCAGCTCCCGAGTGGGCCTGGGCTGGGAAGCCCTGGGTTTCATTCCTCAGCACCACGTTAACAGAAAAAGCCCGAAGTGGTGCTGTGACTCAGGTGGTAGAGTGCTAGCCTTGAGCACAGAGAGGCTCAGGGACAGCGCCCAGGCCCTGAGTTCAGGCTCCAGGACTGGCAAAAAATAAAGACTGGTCCCTGTAGCAAGGTCCTGTTAAGGTCTGCAACACAAGGCCAAAATGGAGATGAGGGGTTTGGGGTGACTTCCAGCACACCGGGGGCTATGGGGGTCTGAGGCCCCCAAGCCGGTTTCCAGATCTTGGCCCAAGTTCTTTCTAAACTTGCTCCTCAGGTCCCTGCCAGTGGGTGCTCTCCCCAGCTCTAGAACAGTCCAGGAGCAGCAGGCTGACAGGAAGGGGAAAGGCTGGGGGAGGGCTGCCCTAGGGGCCGCCCGGGGCAAGGCCAGGGTTCGCGGAGGCCCAGCCTCACCCGGTGTCCGGGCAGAGCCCCACGGCCAGCGAGCTGGGGCTGACCGGCCAGGCCTCCTCCACTGGGCCTCCGTCCGCCCCGCCCGGCCCCCGTCCCGCCCTGCCTCTCCCCTGACTCACTTCCTCTGCGTCGAAGCGGAAACTCCCGGGCTGGCTCCGCTCCGCTCCGCTCCCGCGGCCTGCAGGTGAGGCCGCCGT